GTAAGGTGACACCCCTAAGGGGAATTCAGAAATGTAAATTAAAAATTAACAAAAAAAAAAAAATCAATAAAACTACAATAAAAAACACAAATACAAAAAACTACACACAACAAACAATCACAAACTTCATTAAAATTTCTAAGAAAATTCAATAAAACTATTACTAGAAAAAAACTACAAACAAATAACAGACAAATTTCTGAATTCCTATGGGAAATTCAGAAATACCAATTAAATTTCTGATGAAAAAAAAACACTAGAAAAAAACTACTGCTACACACAACAAACATTCACACTTCTAAAGTCAAACCTGTTTTTTTAAAAAGTCTGGAAATGGAAAACAGACTCCTAAAGATCTTCATCTTTGTCACTTTGCGAAATTATGACCGAAGGAGCGGGCCATTGAGCAGCTTTAGCCTTCAGATGTAGTCTGGCTCTGTCCCTGGCAACTCTCTTGTCAAACAGGAAATGTTGGTTCTTTTGCAGCGACAGTTATCTGAGATGATATATATTTTTCCCGACCTCAACTTTGATACCCACTGTATTACAGTAATTAAAATATCAGCTCAACTGTGGGATGAAGCTGAAGTACAGGCACACTGCTGGTCCCACGTTAGCAGGGTGTGGGCCCCCTCTTGAACCTGGAAACAAGCAGCGATTCAAGAATAAGAATCAAGTTCATTTGTCAGCCGGTCAGTAAACAAGTCTGCAGAGGGTCTCAGAAGCAAGGTATTGTGTTAAGAATAAACAAGGAAACAAGTAAAAAAAAAAAAGGTCACAAAAATGTGCAAAAACAAGACAAACGTGTAATTTGAATTAGTGTAGCAGAACAGAACAGTCGTACGGCACTTTTTACGTTCGACTTTCAGTTTGTCTTTTTGTAAACATTAGAACTTTGAGATCCAAGTGGATAAACTGAGTGTGAGGTCACTTTTTGAATCTCTGGCTATGTTCACACTGCAGGTCTTAATGCTCAGTTCCGATTTTTTGAAAAAATCTGATCTTTTTGTGTGAACGTTCACATTACATTTTAAATGTGACCTGCATCAGACCCCTGTGTGAACGCTCCACAGCACTGATGTGACATG